TTCTCCTTCTCCGGCATGACTGAAGTTTATAACCCGACTCCGGCACGGCCGATGATGACGACGATGATTCGTCTGAGGATCCAGGCTCAGCCCCTTGAGATTCCCCTCTTCCAGCTTTAAACAGAGCAACACTTCTCCTCCTAATCGACGGCTGATTCCGATTCCCCTTCACTCTCCGGTAACCACCATTGTTGCGACCTCTGCAAAAGGGCTCCGCCATTCAATCCTCCCACGCACCATTAAGCCCTCCAAATCGAAAACCCCAGAAATCCCAAATCAAACCAGTTCTAAACCCATCGTAATCCGATCCCAAATCCCCTAACCCATCTCTCACTCCGTGCTCCACAGCTTTTACAGATAATCAATGGAAACACCTGGTGGGGAAAGAAAAATGGTTGCAAATTCCAATGGAGAAGGTGTGATTGGGAACTTCAAATTACTAGAAATGGTGAAAAGTGTTTATGGGAAAAGTGGGAAATTTGGATGGGCCTATTGGAAGCGTTGATTGTGGCAGTTGCAGCTTTTTTCTTCTGCGGCAGCTTTGCTATTAAAAAAGGATCTCTGCGATACAATCACTGCGTCTTCTGACGCTCTCTTCCCCTTACCATTTGGAAACTTGTGGACTTCGTTATGCTCACCACAAAAATAACCACTTTATACTTTCAAAACGCTTGAGATTATAAATGTGTTCAATCAATTTTACAACTTATACATCGAATCGTTTCCAACTCTTTAGTTCGATCGAAAGTTAGTGAGTTCGAATAATCTCATCTCACATTTTGTACTCAAAAGTATAAAATAAAAAGAATCGTCAATTTGTTTAACTTTTTTTATGTTTTGTCTAGTGACTTATGAGGATATCAAATTTGAAAAAGGTATATTAGATTCTTGAATTTTTAATTTTATAGTTAAGGATTGTTTCAAACTTTCTAATTAATGAGATACTTCTACGAGGATGGATATTGACTCATGACTTCTAAAATGGTAATAAGTGTCTTATTTATTGAGTTAATTTAGTACCTCTTTTGATACTTTTTAAAATTGTAGGATTTATGGGACACAACTCTTAACGTTTATGGACTAAATTTGTAATTAACCAAATTCAAACTCTTTTCTTCTTCCTTTCTTGTTCGATGGGTTTATAGTGAGTTATGCAGCATTAGATTAATACCTTTGTTTTGGTTTGAATCGAGTAAGAAATTGATGCATGTTTAATAACATGTGAAGTGAGGATTATAACCTCGAACTTTTTATCATATATATATATCTTAACTAGTTGAGCTAAATCTATTCTCGAATTATTGAGGGAAGAGAGGAGACGAGGAAGAAGATGGAGGCAAGGAAAAATAATTTAGGGGTTGGATTTGGGAGAGGAGTGTAAACAAAGTCTTTATTTGGCTGGAAAGTAGAATGATCCATAATATATAGATGAGGAAAATTAGCAAAACCGGGAGGGCTATGCCCAAACGGTACCCATTGTTTAGGATTTTTAATTTTAATATTATTTTAAAATAATTTCATGTTAATTGAGTTTACTAAGTGAAAATTGGTTTCATTATTGTTTTTTCACCCTACCAGTAATAAAAAGAAATAGTAATCTTAGGTCCAAGCAAACATAGCACCGATGATTGACATATATCTCCAATCAAAAGATTGTAAATTCGATCTCCCGCTATCACTCCCACATGTTGTAATTTACATCGGGGGTTCTTACTCATGCTTTTTACAAAATATATATATCTTTTCACTAATCAATAAAATGTCAAATTCATAACAAATAAATATGAAAATTACTGGTCTGGTAATATCTTTTCACTGGTGGTAGTTATATAAATAGTCAAGGTATGGTGGGTCAATACTTGTGAAGAATTAATTTCTTTTGAATTATTATTGAAGACATGATTTGATTATGGTTGGGTAAATTATTGAGAACTATTAAATGATTTTTTGTTATTTTGTAGTTACCAAATATATAATTGCGGTGTATAAAAAGATAATATCTAAATTTTGTCCTTTTAGATATTGGTTCATAAATGGCATCAAATTTTTCAATCCTAATGCTATAATGCTTGGTTGCATTAAATGCCTGTGGTATGGTCTGAGACTATAGTTTTTTCTTTATATATATAAATAATTTGTGGAAGCTTTGGGTTTGAAAATAATAATAATAATAATAATAATAATAATAAGTAGTGTATCTACACTTCTAATTATTAATTTATTCAGTTCAACCGGGAAGGACGGATTCATTAGGACCATCACGAGGTTTGAATTCATTCCCTCTTAATTACCCTAGTCCATTTGGATCAATGAACCACCTAAATCAAATTTCTGGATTTGTCACTAGAAGTGAGACTCAAACATTCGACCTTTTGGTAGAAGATATGCTTTAACATAATGCTCGGATTGTCGATAATTTTTTTAATTATTACTCCAATCACTAAGTGGTTAAAGAACAACCATACATAAAAAGATAGTAATTTTAATGAACTTGTCAATTATTAGTATGTTAACATTTTAATTAGATGATTTTCTATACATAACAGGTAATTTTGGTCAAAATATAAGTATTGATATGAAATTTTATTAAATTAAAGTCATATATTACTTTCAGCCAATAATTAATGAAGTGTATTTTTTTGAAGCAAAATTAATGAAGTGTATTTTAACCTTACATCATTATTTTACCAATTAAATATTTTGTTACAACACGAATTTGACCGAAAAATATTCAATACATGGACAGTGAAAATTGAAACTCTTAAAATATTCGAAACTAAATTGAAAAAAAATTCCAAACTACTCATATATTGTTTGAATTTTGGCCAATATGTATTATTTTACCTAATCTTATTTTTATATATGATTTTTCCAATAAATATTCATTTCTTAAATGGAAAAAATAGTTAATGCGATGCCATTATCCATTTAATTAATGTTTTTATTTTTTGTCACACGCATGCATGAGTTTTGCAAACTTTGTTTTATTCAAAAAATTAAAAGGGAAACAACAAAATTTTGTAGAATATTTTATGTGTCGATAATATTTATATGAGTATCTTTGGGGAGTTAGTTTCTTCGTATGTGACATTAACATAAAAAACAAATATGGGAAAAAAAGATCAGTGTCTTGTCTAATGTGTGCTGACCAAAACGACCAAGTGTCTATAAATGATTAATCACCATTTTAATAGAGCATTAATGTAATTATTGCTTTATTTGTGTGATTAAAATATTCAAAAAACACACACACATTAGTGACCCGATAGATGTTTAATTCTTCTTTTAAGATATCATTTGTATAATTAAATTGATTAAGATAATGTACATAAACATCAGATGTTCGAATATTCATCTTCACGTTAGTAACCATTACGTTATAAAATAAAAGAGAGTCTTGAACTATAATTTATACGGAGAAATATTAATGTTTATATATATAACCATTACAATTATCAGGAATGAGGACTCGAAAATTAAAACATATGAAAAAAAAGTAAAAAAGATGTCTCAACAGCTTTTTTTTCTTATTTCTTGAATACAGCATCAGATTCCAACACCAAAATAAAATGTTTTAATTTTAAAGCTGACAAGTGTAAAAACAATTAATGATGATAATAAACCAAATTTGTTAGAGTTCATGTATAATTTGTATAGGAAAAAAAAAAGAAGGAAAATATCATTTTTTAGCGGTGGAGTCACAAATTGATTTTTTTCTTAGGGAGTAGCAAAATTTGTG